CGGGGGGAGGAGGAGGAGGAGGGGTCCCCGCCCGCGTCCCCGTCGCCGCCGCCGAAGGCGAGCGTGACGTCACAGAAGAGGCCCAACCGCCGCTGCTCGTTCTGCCGCCAGGCCAGCTCGGAGCAGTGCGCCCCGCACGAGAAGACCTCCGAGTCCGGCTCCGCGTCCGGCCCCGCGTCGCCGTCCAGCCCCGGGGGGGTGCCTTCCGGGCCTCCGCCGCCGTCGGAATCGCCTCCTCTCACCGTCGCCGCCGCCATCTCGGCCAGCCTCCTCCTCCTCAGAAATTCGGTCGCCTTCCTTCCCCCGTGACGCCTAAGTACGTCACAGCCGTGACCATAGAGAGGGAGAACGGAAGGAAGGGCTACCGGAACTAGGCTTGGGGGGGACGGACTCCTGTCGGCTCTCAACGGTCCAGGAGTGGCCGTTACCCGCTGGCTCCGCCCACCAAGCCGTTTGCATCTTTTCCCTTTGTTGTTGTTGTTGTTTTTGGTCCCGTCTTCCCGGGTGGAGCCCCGCTTCTCCCCCCCCCCCAGTGCGGCTACCTCAGAACATGAGAGGACTGCAGTGTTCCCTCTAAGCTGAGTCAGTGTGAGCCGCCTGACCGTTTTTTAGCCTCCGACTCACACATTTTTTTGTCTCAGCTCAGGAAGGAGGGCTCCAGAGCAATGCTCCCTCTAAGCTTTGGAGCCTTGTGTGCAAAAATTCTACTTTGTGAGCTGCTGGCATTAAAGTTGTGAGCGAGGGATTTGGCTACGGCATAAATAAATTAGTCTGCTCTGGAGCCATCCTTACTGAGCCAAGGCAAACGTGTGAGCCGGAGGCTAGAAAACTGAGCTAGCTCGCACTTACTCAGCTTAGAGGGAACACTGCTCCAGAGTGAATTAATTTATGCAGTGGCCAAATGGCTGCTCACAATGCCAGTAGCTCACAAAGTAGAATTTTTGCTCAGGACTCCACAGCTTAGAGGGAGCACTGGAGAGGAGCCCTACTGAGGAGGAGGCTGAAGTTGGTTCCTTATTCTTGGTTCCTTATTCCTTATTTGTGACTTCTGGATGAGGTCATGAATAAGGAATGAACAAGGAACTGCCAATAAGGAACCAGCTTCAGCCTCCAGCCCTGCTGGGTCAGACCAGTGATGGTCTGTTTAGGACAGTATCCTAGGGTTGCCAGGTCTGGGTTGGGACCTTGGGGGTGGATCTGGGAGAGGGTGGAGTTCAGGGAAGGGAGGGACCTCAGGAGGGCATAATGCCATAGAGGCCACCCTTCAACACAGCCATTTTCTCCAGGGGAGCTGATCTCTGTCAGCTGGAGAGCCATTGTAAGAGCGGGAGATCTCCAGACCCCACCTGGAGGCTGGCAACCCTACAGCATGCTGCCTCACATGGTAGCCAACCAGTTCCTCTGGAAGTCCAACAATGGCAGAGAGGCCGAGGCCTTCATACAATAGTCTAGCTAGTCGACCATTCTGTTTCATAGAATGGCCAAACAGTTACTCTGGATGGCCAACAACAGGGCACAGAGGCCAAGGCCTTCCCCTGATAAGAACATCAGGAAAGTCCTGCTGGATCAGACCAATAGTCTAGCTAGTCGACCATTCTGTTTCATAGAATGGCCAAACAGTTACTCTGGATGGCCAACAACAGGGCACAGAGGCCAAGGCCTTCCCCTGATAAGAACATCAGGAAAGTCCTGCTGGATCAGACCAATAGTCTAGCTAGTCGACCATTCTGTTTCATAGAATGGCCAAACAGTTACTCTGGATGGCCAACAACAGGGCACAGAGGCCAAGGCCTTCCCCTGATAAGAACATCAGGAAAGTCCTGCTGGATCAGACCAATAGTCTAGCTAGTCGACCATTCTGTTTCATAGAATGGCCAAACAGTTACTCTGGATGGCCAACAACAGGGCACAGAGGCCAAGGCCTTCCCCTGATAAGAACATCAGAAAAGCCCTGCTGGATCAGGCCAGGGGTCCATCTAGGCCAACAACAGGGCACAGAGACCGAGGCCTTCCCCTGATAAGAACCTAAGAAGAGTACTGCTGGCTCAGACCAATAGTCCATCCAGTCCAGCATCCTGTCTCACACAGTGGCCAACTAATTCCTCTGGAAGACCAACAACAGGGCACAGAGCCCAAGGCCTTCCCCTGATGTTGCCTCTTGGCTCTGGGATTCCGAGGCTTCGTGCCTCGGAATGTGGCGGTTCCCCTCGGCCACCATGGCTAGTAGCCACTGACAGACTTATCCTCCATGAATCTAAATAATCCCCTTTTCAAGCTGTTTATTCCTCTGGCCACCACAACATCCTCTGTCAGCGAATCCCACATTTGAATAACCTTCTATGTAAAGTCATATTTCATTTTGTCTATCCTGAACCAACTGCCCATCAGCTTCACAGAATGCCCTTGAATTCAAGTATTTTGGGAGAGGGAGAAAAAGTTCCCTCTGTTAATTCTCTCCACCCCATACATAATTTTATAAACCTCTATCATGTTCATCTCTTTTATAAACTTAAAAATCCCAGACTCTTCAGCCTTTCCTCCTAGGGAAGGTGTTCCAACCCCCGAATCATCTCGGTTGCCCTCCTCTGCACTTTTTCCAGCTCGGCAATGTCCTTTTGAAGGCAAATAGATTTAAGCGTTGATTAATCACCACTTAATCAAGGGGAAATCAGGCTTAGGTGCTGAAGGGATTATTCTGAGTGAATCAATAGGGCCTGGTTGACCCATTGTTCTAAGAGGCATCTCTCCAGGGCACAGATGCGGGTATTAGCCAGCCAACCGCTCCGACTCACACCTTGAAACTGCTTTCCAAGGCCTCTGCCTGACTGGCATCCATCTTGGTACACTTTGGCCCAAACAGTGCCCTGCACTTAAGGTAGAGGTGTTTCTGGCTTTTAAAGCTATAAACTTTATGTTGTGTTCTAATGGCGACCGAGCATGCGGCTGCCCTTACACGTGGCCAAGCAAACTAGCCTAGCTTCGCATCCTGAGACAAGCCTAGCTTCGCATCTAGGAGAGGATCTTAGAACCAGCCTATCGGCTCATTTGGATCCTCAAGGGACCCTATGGTTGCAGACTGTAAATATCCTATCATGGGTGTGGGTGTGAGTGTTGGGGGTGTGGTTTGTACTTGTATTTAAGCAGGCCTCTGGCCGGCTACTGTGTCTCTAGTTTTCTAAGTAAAGTATGAGCTGAAATCACTATGCTATGACTCAGTCGTCTCAGTACTTTATACTTTATATGGCCTGGGACCAACATACTTAAGGGACTGCCTCTTCCCATATATGCCTCGAAGATAGTCTCTGATAGTCAACACCTCCTGGTGGTCCCTGGCCCAAAGGATGTCCCCCTAGCCTAGCAGCCAGTTTGGTGTAGTGGTTAAGCGGACTCTAATCTGGGAGAACCGGGTCTGATTCCCCACTCCTCCACCGGGGAACGGGCCATTGGGGTGGGGGTTTCCCCACCCCCCGGGGGGACTTGGCAGCCCTAATAACCCACCCATTGAACTTTGGATCGTACAGATATACACTGAAGTGCTTCCAAGGAGGGGTAGTTAACATCACAGAAAGCAGAAATAAAACTCAATAAAATTCAAGATCTCAGTGACCCACCAAAAAACTGGAATGAAACTAACAAAATGAGCCAGTTTGGTGTAGTGGTTAAGTGCGCGGACTCTAATGTTAGCCAGCAAGGAGCTTTTTGCCCTGTTTATGCACTATGTCTAATGTGTGCCAAGGGACTATGATGATTGGTGACCAGACTGAGATGCCAGATATGTACCAGCAAGAGCCTGAGAACATGGATCCCAAGTCACTCCATTTCAGAGATGTTCCTGTACACACACAAAGAGCCAGGCCAGCAGCCATTTGCTTTGGCTGTTCAAACAAAGAACTTACTTCACCTTCACCTGGCATGTTCTCCCCCCCAACAACTTCATCAAAGGATTAAGTTTTTCCTTAACAAAGGAATTAGCTCGGCAGCCCACCTACCCACCTGGAGAACCAGTTCTGCGGCCTCAAGACAAAAGAGGACAATCAATGCTAGCTGCTGACTCAATCATCATGCTAATCAGGTGTCTTTGGGCTACCAGCTTAATTGCATCAATCATTGTCCAAGCTAAGCCCCTCACTTCCACTGCATAAACTAATCAGAGAGGGACTGTGTCAAGGGAGGAGTCCAGCAAGCCCTCCCCATGTGACACCCCAGAGGAGGTGGGCCAAGTCATGTGACTAGGACATGTGATCACCTGAAGCCACCCCCAAGGGACATGTGACTAGGACATGTGGCCAGCCTGGCCCAGCCTCCCAAACCCACCTTATAAAAGGGGACAGCGGGCCATGTGCTCTCTCTCTCTACACCCCCTCAACGACCCCTATACTCTCTGACTCTTATCCTTGTAGCAATCTGCTACCCATCCCACCCCAGACTTTTAGTCTGCAGCTAAGGCCTACCTTGTGCTTTCTGCTGGTCAGTCTGCACACTCCATTTTCCTAGTATAATCCCCATTTTTCTAGTATTCCCTTATTTTTCCATTTGACAAGCTTCATCTCTTCGGACCAGGTAAATATTGTCAAACCAAAGAATATCCTGCTAAAGCAACTGTGTTAAGGATCTATCTTTATTTCCTAGCATATGTATAAATGTGTGTGTGGTTGTGTATTGTTTGAATGATATATATCTCTCAGTAAAGAGACATTATATTTTACTGAATCCAGTCTCTGTGTCTGTTCAGATACTTACAGCAAGGGTGAGACTTCTGTATACATTGGTGAGAACCCTAATTTGCCTATTGCCAATTAATAATCATAACTTCACCTAGATTAATTAATAATTAAAGGCAATTTGGCTAACACTATGGCAAGCTGTGATTATTGGTTTTATATGTTTATAATGTGTTTTAAATTTTATTGTATTTATTTAAATGTTGTAACCTGCCCTGAGCCCGTCTACGGGATGGGTGGGATAAAAATGTGAAAAATAAATAAAATAAACTGCCCCTCAGTGGGAGGAGGGGTGTGATTGCTAACGTGGATTGGGAAATTCTTGGAGATTTTTATTGGGTTAAATGTAAAAGATATATCATTTGCCTTGGAAGTACAGAAGCCTTTTCACAGTATTCCTGATTCTCCACATTTCCCAGTTAAGGGGAAAATGCTGTTCAAACCAGTTGCTAAGAGGACCTATCTCCAATTTTACTTACAAAAATAGAAGCATATCTTACATGACATATTCATGTAGGTACACTTACCTTCTCGTG